TGTCCCACGGCTTACCGTTCCCTTGCTTCTACAGGGGTCACTGGGGGATGTTGCACTTACTGAACCTTCATCCTGGCTGTACGAAGTGTTTGTTTATGTGACTTCCTAGGGTTTCGACACGGCGACTGTAGGAGGGTTTGGGGGGAGGCATGGAAGGGGGACAAGGAAGCCTGTTTCATCCCCTGTGGTGTAGAGATATGGCGATAGGAGGAATGTCTGAGGCGCAGGGGAAGGTGACAGTGTGGTGGTTGGTCTCTACCCTCTTTGACTCCCAGAGAATGGTGCCTGAGCCTGCCAAGTGCCACAGCGGCTCCACGAAGGTAGCCACAGGTCCTCAGAGCACAGGAGCCTCACCTAAAGCTTCACAGCCCCCGCACAGGGGCCTGTAGCTCCAATATCTAGGGAACCCCAGCTGCAACTCCTCATCTCAACCGCGGTTTGTGGTACAAAATGTCTCCTCGCAGCTCGACAGGGCACCACAGTGTAGCTGAACCAAGCCGTGATCTAAACACCTTTGGCTTAGGGAAAGGTGGCCTGAGCTGGGGAGTGCGAGTTCAAATCCCACCTCTTCCTCGCTGCTGGAATCTCTGGAGGAGCATGCCAAATGTTCAGGCCGTGAGCCCAGCTGCGTAAGATCCTGACCCTCTGGAACCACAGCAGCCTTTCCCCCCGTGCTGTCCCTTCAAGAGAAGCACCACCAGGGCCAGTCTCAGAAACCTCAGAGCTGCTGATTTGAGAAAACTCGCCTAGTTCAATCTAGACCATGCTGCCAGCAGCTGGTGCCAGAAGAAAGGTTCCTGGGGCCTCCGTGCGCATCTGCTCTGCCGTGGGGTCTTCTGTTACATACAAATAGCACCAGCCCCGAGACACACTCCTCAGCACGTGTTTATTTCACAAATAGGCATCATGCCTCAGGCTAGTTGGGGCCTGTCTTGGCTTGGCGCTCCTCTCGCCCCTGCAGCTGCTCACAAACGCTCCCTCTCACCGGCCGGGCTTCATTTCCCTGTTTGAAATCTCTGGACGTTTAAACAACGATGAGGGAAGGATTTCATTCTGTCACTTCCTGGGACTGAACAGGGGGAAAGGAATGATCTGAGAACAGCCGGGAGCTAAGAATACTCCGCTCTGCGAGCCAGCTGCTGCTCAACACTAGCCCTCTGGAGTCCATCCCAGCCTTCCTCTCCGTGGGCCTGCACTGCTTGGAGGAGACTGGCTGCGGTATGAGCAGCATCTTCCAGCTTTGAGGGTGTTTCGGTTGTGAGTAAGTCTCTGTTCTCCCAGCCGCTGGGAAAGCTGCTTTGCATCCCGGAGTCATCGCTGCTAAGCTGATCCAACGGGGCTCTCTGGGACTTTGCCACAGACGCGGCTTCATTCCCCAGGAGGCAGGGCCACGCTACTGCTGGCTTTTCCGTGTGCCGCAAGGAATGGGAAGAGTGGACGGAAGCTGGGCTGCCCTGGGCTCAAAGGGAGCCTCCTGCGTGCCACATGGAACCACGCATCAAAAGAACAGCTGGGGCAGGGATCTGCCTTTGCCTTCGCTTCCAGTCCTGATGCTGGGCTGGCCTGGCCTCCGCGCAGCCTCCTCACAGGCTATGTAGGAGTTCAGTTGGGATGGCGCCTCCTGGCCCGAACACGTATGACTCCATGAGCAGCAAGGGAAATCCCAGCAAACCTTTCCTCTCACTGCCCTGCCTGTGCCCCACAAAACCTGCCCTGCCTAGGAAATCAGCAGCAATACTTGGCATTAAAATACAGGAAGTATTCAACATCCTATGCGCTTTCCGCCCCCCCTGCATACGCCTCTCTGTACACACTGACGTCCTCTCCCCAGACCTGCACTGCCCTCCCACCTCCAGACTCAACCCCGGGGCCTGCCTCTTCACGTGGAAATGTGCCAAGCGCAGCTTCGTGTCCTTGCTCCTCTGGCACGTCCCACCTGAAGATCTGAAAGTGCTCTGTAAACATTCATTCAGTCTCAGAACACCCCCTCCCACGCCCACATGAGGACTGCAAAGTAAGAAATATATAGCGATCATGTCACCTGCCACTAAAATGCAGCCGCCGCAGGAGCGGGACTCGGCAGCTATGTTACACTACACAGCCGTTTAGGAGAGGAAATGAAGGTGAATACCACAGTCCAATTGCTACTACAGGGAAAACGTACAGAGGCCGGGTGGAATTGCCTGAGTAGGAGTTTGGCCAGGACGTTGGGCATAGCACCCTGGCTCTTACGGGAGTCTGAATGGGGTCACAGCCTTTCTTCTCTAGATTTTGCAAACTTATGCCTGCAATTTTTGTGCCCAAAAACTGAGAGTGCAAAAAGGGAGGCCAGGGTGAAAGCCGAGCCCCATCAAAGTCAGTGAGAGTTTTGCCAATGCTTTAATGGGACCAGCAGTTCTGAAATCTGCCCAAAGTGTCATGGGACCTTTAAAGAGAACACCTTCTAGCAGGTTAGCGCTCCCTAGCCGTATTGTCCCCCCGTGTTTGCCACCTGGATGATATTCAGGTGAAACCTCTAGCACCTCCTGGGAACTATGGCAGGAAAGACCATATATCACAGCTGGCCCCTCGCCTCGGGTGAGCGGGGAACCTCAGTGCTGCTGTCCTCTTGGAGCCTAAGCGGGAATTCAGTCTGTGTTTAGTGACTGAACCTCCAGCAGCGTGGAAGGAGCCCATAGGAAGTGGCCAGCTTTCTCCCAGCCACTGTCAGCCTATGATTTATCTGAAAGTCACCCCGCGCCAGATGTGCGAGCCAAACAGCGACAGGAAACGCTGTTCCCTGGGGGTTTGTTCTGCACAGGAGCCTCCTGTTCTGGAGCTGGCACTGCACAGCCTGCCGGCTCACTCCCAAGGCGGGGCGCAGTGTGTCAAGGAGCCAGCTACTCACAGGTTGCACTCTGGTGAGCTGCTTTCCACAGCCATTCCCTCTTCATTGAGCCTTGCTCTCAGGCACTCTTCAGCTGCTTCAGAGGCAGGGGCAAGAACACCTGCAGTTGGCAATGACGGGAGACAGTGGGCGCGTGGGGAGTTCCTCCTGATCCCCATCACTTAGGGCTAGGTTATTTTTATCATAGCTCATCTTATTTGTCTCCTTTCAAACAATCCCCATCATTTTAATCTCTCCTTCTCTGGAACTTTTTCCATGCCTCTAATCATTCTTGTGTCTGAACCGCCTCGATTTCCGCAATATCCTTTTAGAGCCGCGTGGACTGGAACTGGGCACAGTGTTCCATGGGAGATCGGACCATCGAATATCTACCCTGGCATGCCGAGATTTTCAGTTTTATTCTCCATGCCAGTCCTTACGCACCGAAACATTTTGTTTGTTTTCTTGGTCGCTCTTGCAAATGGAGCAGAGATCTCCACAACAGTGCTCAGGTCTTCTTTATTTGGCGCTGGTGTGGCCAGTTCTGGTGCCCACAATTCAAGAAGGCGGTTGATCAATTGGAGAGGGTTCAGAGAAGAGCCATGAGAATGATTAAAGGATTAGAAAACATGTCGTATAGCGATAGCCTCAAAGAGCTCAATCTGTTTTGCTTAACAAAGAGAAGGTTAAGGGCCGACTTGATTACAGTCTATCAGTACCTACATGGGGAACAAATATTTAATAATGGGCTCTCCAGTCTAGCAGAGAAAGGTCTAACGTTATCCAATTACTTGAAGCTGACCAAATTCAGACTGGAAATAAGGTGTAAAATTTTAACTGTGAGAGCAGTTAACCATTGGAACAATTTACCAAGGGCTGTGGTGGATTCTCCATCACAGTCAATGTTCAAATCAAGATTGGATGTTTTTCTAAATGTTTTGCTCTAGGAATTACTTTGGGGCAGTTCTCTGGCCTGTGACAACAGGAGGTCAAACTAGATGACCACAATGGTCCCTTCTGGCCTTGGAATCTGTGAATCAAGGTCCCAGTGAGGTGTATGAGTGGTTTGAATTATTTCTCCGGATGTAAATTACCTTGCATTTCAATACATCTTTGGTAAAAATAGTCAAATGAATAAAATATTGTTCTGGTTTGAATTATATAAAAAGGAAACAACTTCAACATTTTGAAAATTTTCACATTGTTTCTCTTCTTTTTGATCAGCTCTAGCCATTGTCCATACGCCAGTAAATCATTAACACTGGGCCTATGTCTGGCTCCAACCCAGTGGTGTCCAGTGTAGCTCAGTACCAAAAGTACATTCTGCAGATAGTTACAGCTTGTTCTTCCCTCACTATTCCAAGCGGGGGGAAAGAGTATGCATTTTCATAGCATAATATACAGGGCTTCACTATATATAATGCAGAGAGTATTCGATATATAAATTCATTAACATCATTAATATCCACAATTGTTCTCTCATGACTAACCTAAATAATGTGTAATCTGCAAATTTTGCCACCACCCTTCTTCCCCTCCCCATTTCCAGACCATTAATAAATCTATTAAATAACACAGGGCCTAGTATGGAGCCTTGCGACACCTCCGCTTAACCACTTCGGTTGAAAATTGACTGTTTATTCCTACTCTTTGCTCTCTGTCTTTAGACTAGTTTCTATCCATGACGATATTTCACCTTGCAACTCATGACAACTTAGTTGTCTTAAAACTTTCACATTAGAGACTTTCTCAAAGGCTTTTAGAAAGCACAAATAATTATGTCAGCAGGTTCTCCCTTTACCAGCTATTTTTAGTGACACATTCAAAACATTGTAATAGACTGGAGAGGTATGAGTTTCCATTTTAGAAGCCACCCTGGTTAGTTCAGATCATACCATGATCATCGAGATGTTTTACTATTTTATTTTTAATTATTATTTCAACCAATTTCCCTGGTATGTAGCCCCTATTGGAAGTGCTAGGATGGCTCTGGATGGGCACTCTCTGGAAATTGAACTGGCTCTCTGGGAGTGGGAGTCTCTCTCTCCCCCAAGGTTGTACAAGGAAGATTGGAGTGCACGTGGGAGGTGATGTGAGAGCGCTGCTCTAAACTCTCCGCTCTCTCCCGTTGCAGTGGCTCACCATGACCTGGAGAACACCATGAACTGCAGTTTCATTGAGCCACCATCGGTAGTGGAGCAACCGTCTCCCTCCTGGTCCTCCCGGGGCTCCTTCTCCTCCTTTGACACCACCGACGAGGGACCAGTGTACTGTGTACCCCATGAGGGTGAGTGGACGTTGGGCAGGGTGGGCAGAGCCAGGAGCCTGATTGTGCTGCTGGATAGGATGATCCCCGTTGCCACTGCTAATCAATCTGGGCTCTCCAGCTCTGAGTTGTTCCCCTGGCACGGCAACCCCTGTGATGCAGGGGGGTTACATGCCTTCACAAGTGGGGAGTGATACAGAATGTCTGTCAGTGCACACTGGGATTGGCACCAGCCCACCCATCCGCCGAAAGACAGCCCTGCCCAACAGATGGGAGCTCAGCAGAGATGCTGCCCCGCCTGCCCCCACTTGCACTCTTTCCTCCTCTGTCTAGTTGACGTCTCAGAGGCACGCTGCCAAGGCTCATCCTGGAGGTTCCTCTGTTCTTGAAGCTGTCCAAAGTGTGTGCAATGCTTTGTGTGGTTCTCCCAAGCCAATGGGATGATTCTTTCTCCTTCAAAAATAAAGCAACCAAACCAACACCCCGACAACGCCAAAGCCGCTCTAAAATAAAAGCCATGGTTATTTTAGCAACCAAGAGAACAAATGTCTCTGCTCAGAATGGACCCTGTTCCTGCAGATCCTCATTCTGGGACACTGGGCCCAGGACTCCTGGATGCCGCACCAACCTTTAGGAGGGCCAATCATTTCACCTCGTGGCAATCCATGTCTCAGCAGGCTCTTGTCCCAGAAGCATGATTTTCTTGGACCTTAGTTGTAGGTTGTCAGCCTCCAGCATGTGGCCTTGTTATTGTACTGAGGGGTTTTGAGCTGTGTTCTGGCTGCTCCATTGCCCTAGGTTGTCTGACCAACCCCTTCAAGAGAGCCAACCCCAACATACAAACGAGGCTGCTCTGCTCTGAGGGGGTGTCTGGTGAGGACGGTATGGCAGGCCCATGTGAGGGGGTGGGTATGAGGCCTATGGGACAATGGATGTGTGTGGGTATATAACAGGACTATGGGAAGGGGTATAAGGTCCATAGGGCAGTGAATAGCAGGGACAGAAGGCCCATGGGGGTAGTATAAAGCATTGCCTGATTATAACTTGTGTCCCAACCCTTTCCTCCCGTCCCTTCGCTGTGGGGCCCTCATGCCCCATCCTGTCTCCTGTGCACCGTGGCACAGTGTAATGTATCTGTGCTTTCTCTTTTGCAGAGGGTGTGGGTGAAAGCAAAGAGAGAGGCCCTGCCTGCAGCCTGGTGGAGAAGCTGGCACCCCCAATCAGCGCGGAGGAGGCTGGAGAGTATACCTTCTTGAAAGAGACGGGCTCCGTCAAGGCCTTCCAAGCAGACAGCAGCGAAACACCCCTGCTCAAATCCTCCGACAGCGAAAGGTCGTCCTGTGGCTCCGGCTCCACCAGCGGAGCCCTCTATGCCAAAATCGCCCGTCTCTCCAAGCAGTCCAAGGACGAAGATGAAAATACAATGGACACCAAAAGCCCTGGAGTGAATGGTAAATCCCCCTCCCCGGAGAGAACCAAGCCCCCTCCCCCTGATCCCTCCACAAAGCCAAAAGTGTCCTGGATCCATGGGAAGTACAACTCCAACCAGTCCAACTCGCTCCCCGCTCCCAGCAGGTCGCCCGAGAGAGCGGCCATGCAGCCTGATTGCTCTGAGCACCCTCAGGCCAAGAGGAAGAGAAGCCCGAGTGAGACCTCGGCCGGCCTCCACGGGAAAGCCGATGACAAGGGCAGCGCGAGGAGCAAAGAGAAAGCGCAGAAACATCTGAAAGAGCTGAGCTTCCCAGAGGGCAAAGCCTCTTTCTCTGGGGAGCCCCAGTCACCATCCAAGCCCAAGCAGAAGACCAAGGCCAGTTCGGAGCAGATGGAGAACATCAATGGGGCCGTCCAAAATGCTCTGAAAAAAATGGGAAACTACCACCCAGACAGGAAAGGAGGGGAAGGCAGGGAAGCCCCCCGGAGCCCCAGTCACAGCAAGCCACGCTCCGAGGCCATCCACCCCCATTTGTCTTCGGAGGCAGCCACTTTACTGGCTGCTCAACTGAAGGAAAAGACTCAAAGCCTCAACAAGGGCGATGGCAGCGCCCGGCAAAATGGGGTGAGCCCTTTGCAGCCCCAGAGGGAGAAACCCACCCCTCCGCAGAAAGCCAAGCGCTCTGTGGCCACTAGCAGCAGCCAGAAATCCAGCAAGCCGGCGCTGCCAACCTCCCCCAACCTGCAGAAACTGATCAGCCCCGTGTCGGAGACCACGGTCAATGAGACCAAAAGGGCAGAGAAGCAAAATTCCAGCAGCAGCAGCCAGGAGCACGCGCCCCTGAGTGACCAGACCAGCAAAAAAACACCCATTAAAAAGCCCCCTAGGAAGAAGAGCAGAGAAGCCACCTTGGAGCAGCCCAAAGCAGCCATAATGCCCCCTCAGACAGTTCAGTAGAGGAGTCCCGTGGGCCCCAGGTGCCGGCCTGGTACTGCACCAGACAAGTGTTGGCAGGCAGAGGAAGCCCCTCTGCTCTCAGCAAGTCTGCAGGAAGGGTCAGTGGAAATGGAGGTCTGAACTGGGAAGTGGGCTCTGGAGAAGCCTCCGAGCCATCTCTGTCCTGCACTGGGGCCTCGGACTCTTTGCCCATCACAGACGCCCACCTCCCAAGCTGCGCTGTGCCCTCTGCCATGTATCTTCTCCTCACGGGGGCCGGAGCAGCTTGCGTCCCCCGTTTCTTTTGCAGGGAGAAGGACCGCATGGAGCTCCCCTGATGTGGAAGGGTTGGCAGGGTTGCATTGGCCTGCCCTGAGTTCTGAGGGGGGGCTGCATGAGACTCTGAGCAGGGCCTTTGTCCTTTTGTAGCAGTATTATTGGTTGCATAAGCAGTGCTTGTTTACTAGAAATCCCCGTGTTGTATTCTGCAGTAACGGATTAGCTTGCTTCCTGTATCCTAATCCGGTCTGTCGCATTCACATTGGCAGATGGCAGCCAGAGGCCAAGGCTCTTGCTCCGTGTATTAGAGGGGCAGACAAGGCCAATGCCAGTCTTCTCTTGTTGCTAGCCATGTGCCCAGGGCCCCTGTGTGGTCCATCCTGAAGTCCATCCTGTGTGGTCCATCCTGGCAGAGAGGAGCCGGCTGCGGATCCTGTGTGATCCAGAGCAGTGGAGCACTGGGACCAGCGGTGCTCACTGTCTTGGGTTTAGTTTGTGTTTCTTCCTTGCCATTTAGCTTTTTATCTTCTGAAGATGTCAACTCCCCTGGGCATCACCTTCCTCTGCAGGCACGCTGCTTTGGTCAGCGTGAGGTCGAGCTGGTTTCGACTGATGCCCCCTCTGGTGTCTGAGGATGTTGCTGCTGGTGGTGGCTGTGAAGAAAGTACTATTTATGGCCTGACGCCATTCAGAGTGGCTGTCCCGGTTAAGGGGGTCCATTCCACTGGAGCTGTGTGGCGTGATTGGTACTACAGAATTTGGCACATCTGCAGAAAGCTTTCCTAATAAAAGTGTATTTCTTCTCTACCTTTGGTGCTTTCTCCTCCCGTGCCCTCTGCCGATCACTGCCTGCTGCGTGGCTGCATTAAGGCTTCCACCGGGCTCCTTTTGTTTTATTTTAATGCTTAGCGGTGTGAGCACCCTGCCCCTGGACCCAGCCCTCCTCCCTCTGGAGGGGACGTGGAGTTCCTTGCAGATGACAGGGAGGAGCCATGCACCTGCAGAAGAGACCTTCAAATCCAAATGTCTCAATGACACAAACCAAGTCCCCGCCTGGCACCCCTGTGCAGGGCACACTGTATTAAATGGCTGCCCTCTCCCACCCCCAAGGTGGCTGCTTTTCAGCAAGGCCCAGTTATGGGAATGGTATAAGCTATTAGCATTATCATTCATGTGCTCTGTCACCTCAGCCTCAGGGCCTCTGAGCTGGTTGGATTGAACCTGAAGCTGCTTCTCGGCCCACTCAGCCCACGGCCTAGCCACCGATAAGTCCTTCATGTACAAAACAAGCCCCATATCGAAAAGAGGAAGCCACTAAAAGGGAAATGGAGCTGGCCCTGTATTGCCAGCCTAAAGCTTCCAAAGTCATGAGCTGGACCCCAAAAATTCATGCGAGCCAGAATTTTCAAATGAGCTAAGCAGGTAGGTGCCCAAATCTCTCGAGTGGTTACAGACGGTATAGCCATGTCTGACAAAGCCCCTCTTTGGGGTCCCAGCAGGGATGGAATCCTGGACCTCTGGATGTAAAATCATTAAACTAACTCTACTGAACCCTAACTTACAACTAGAAACTGTCTAACTGCAAGAAAAACCAGAAGGCTGAGCAGTCTAGGGGGACATGCTAGGGCTCTGGCTCAGGCTGAGGTGGGAGCGAAGGAACTGAGGGCGTTTTGCCTGTGCACCCCTATAATAGCCTCGGTGTCTGCCATGAGGAGGCATAGGGCGCCTACGTGAGCCACACAGGCACTGCTAGCTAGACTGCACCAATCAACGGCTCGAGGCACAGGCACGCCTGAAGTGGAGCACCCATAGAGACACGACTTGAAGAAGAACCAGCTGTTAGCGTGGAGACAGTCGCAAAGTCAGAAACCGCTATATGCAGTATAGCCACTAGAGGGTGACACAGCCACACTGTTAGCAGGGGTTGCACAAGCACATAATTTGGCACGTTCCTTCTGAAAGGCAGTGTGGCAAAGTAGATGAGATGTGGGTCTGTTATGTTAGAGGCCTGTGTTCCATTTTCATCGCTACCATTAGTGACATTGGGCAAGCGCCCGTTTTTGTAGCTGGGAAAATAGATGAGCTATTATTCTCTCCCCTCAGACAGCAGTATGAGGCCTTGGTTAATAAGAAGCGGAGCAGATATATTCTCAACTGGCAGTGGAAGAACTAGGGCTACCACTCATGATCACCTGACTTGTATCTCACCACATCTGCCCCTAGGCAACCAGGCATTCACTCATGCTGTGTTTCCCCCATATTATTGATGGTAGGAGCTTTTCATGAGAGCTCCTGCAGCAGGGGCCAGAATCACAACACTGCAAGAGTTAGCAACGCTGTGACGCCCTCCTGAGGTGCAATGGGACGGTTGTAGCCCTTGTATAAGAGCAGCAGGGAAGGGAAGCAGATGAGCCACAAAGGTGTGAGCTGGGCTAGGTTGGTGGGCTTGCCTTAGCTTCGGTGGGCCTTTCACAATTTCACCAAGGCAGAAGAGCCTGAAGTAGCCCCCAAGACCCTTGGATAACTGGGGAGGCAGTGGACACAAACTGTGCCCTCCGTCTTCAAGAGACTCCTAGGCTGGCTCCCTCGGCAGGCCCCTTTCAAACTGGTTTAATTCACCCCTGGCACCGGAGGACAGTGAGGCTAGCCAGGAGACCCACAGGACCAGATTGGTAAAGGTATAAAGGGCCTGAGGATGCTTTTGGACACCTAATGGGATTTGCAGAAGTGCCTAAGCACCTAGTTCGCATTGAGTTCCACCGCAGTTATGCTAGGTAATAATGGCCATCTCACAGCCTAGCAACAGCTTTAGGAGCCTAAATCCCTTGAAACATCCCGCCCTGACTGCTCGCTCCACAAAGAGGACTGCGGCGTTGCAAGGCCCAGTTCCTAGGCACCCTGCACAACACCAAGTAAGGCACCCAGGCATTGTAGGGGGCGAGTGAGGTGCCCAAGAGAGAACTTCACAGGAGCGGGCAAGCTGAACAGGGAGCCACTTGCGCTAGCCTGTAGGAAATGTAAAGGAGAGGGGCAGAGCCTGGGGTCCAGATTCACAGAGATATTTAGGGTGTGTCTACACTGCAATTAGAAACCCAGGGCTGGCCCATGCCAGCTGACTCGGGCTCGCAGGGCTGTTGAATTGCAGCGTAGATGTCTGGGCTTGAGCTGGAGTCCAGGATCCTGGGAGGGGGCTACACCGCAGTTAAACGACCCAGCAGCCCTTGCGACCGAGTCAGCTGGCACGGGTCAGCTGCGGGTGTCTAATTGCAGTGTAGACGTACCCTTAGGCACATGGCAGGACGGAGGGAAGCCACGAGCTCTGCGGAGGATGCTCCGCCTCAATCCCTCTCGGTGCCAAAGCCAGGTCAGCCTGTCCCCGGCGTAGCAGCCCGAACCCAGCCCCAGAAAGCGCGCGAGCGCCACCTAAGTAGCGCAGTGGTTGTTAGGGCACTGGCCTGGCGGGCTTGCTCCTGCCTACGTTCTCGCCCCCAAACGGCTCGGAGACCCCTTGTGCGGTTTAGTTACAGCGTTCGCTCCCGCCACCTCTACAGCCTGTGCAGCATTATAGCTACAGTGCCCCAGAGTGCCAGGGACAAGGCAGGGCGGGGAGCGCGTGGCTGTGGCTGTTCCTCTCTTTCACGTCCTTGTGCCTTTGGTACCTCTGGGCTAATGAGTTCATTCACCTTTTACCTCTCTCCAGCCAATGCGGAGCTCGCAATGGGGCGCAGTTCCCATTGTGAGGTGTGCACGGGGGTCCGATCTGTGTGCTGGCTCAGCTACTGCTGCCCAACTCTGTCACACACCTCCCCCCTCGCCTGACACTCTCCCTCGCTTACCGGATGTGACACCCTGTGGGAGTCTCGCTCCAACCCTGGGGTGATCAGCTCGGTCGGCCACTCATTCCCACCCACAGAACTCTCACGTGATGGCCAGGCTGCCCCCACAGCTCTGGTTTGGCCCATAAATCATCGCACCGTGGGGGGGGGGTGCTCTCCCTATCCTCTCCCTTTGTATCAGGCAGTGGATTGAGGACCCTCCACTCACCTCCCTGATTGCTGGGGTTTTCCTTCCCATCAGGCTCCATTTCCTCCTCTTGGGTTTTCTGTTTCCCCACCGCCGCCTTCTCCCAGTATTGCCACTCACGCAATTGGATCGGGATCCTTGGTGCTTCTCTTAAAGCCCTGCCCTGCTTCTAGAGCCCCACCTTCCACTACAAACAAAACTGACCAGCCAGCCCTCGTGGTTGCAGAGACAAGCTGGAAAACACAACCCCTAGAGCTGAGGTTCTCAAACGTTTTTTGCTGGGACCCCCTTTGAAAATATTTCAGGGTGTGATGACCCCCCTCCATACCAAGCCACCCTTACTCCTGCGCTGCTGCTGACGGCGGCGCTGCCTTCAGAACTGGGCGCCTGGCCAGCAGCTACCACTCTCCAGCCCCCCAGCTCTGATGACAGCACAGAAGTAAGGGTGGCAATACCACAACTCCCCTACAATAGGCTTGCACCCCCCCCCTTTTGGGTAGGGACCCCCAGTTCGAGAAACGCTGCCCTAAAGGTTCAAAGACCAGCCAGAAAATGTACTTATCCCACAATGTTATTGTTTTAAATGTTGTGATTTTTAAGCCAGGCTCATGATTTTTGGGGGGGCCTGACTTGGAGTTGGTAATGCTGCCTTAAACCAGAGCTTTGGAGTGTCCTTGCTCTCTCTCAGCCTGGCTGGCTCGGTGGGACTCCTGGTTCTGCCTCTCCTCCCCTCACCCTACTCTGCCTCTCACTGCCTCCCCCAAGAGCCCCTGTCTGCTCTGACCTGAGAGCATGCGGTGGGTAGCATAGGCCAGGGAAAGCTGTGCCTCCCCAAACAGCCAGGGCCGCCCAGAGGATTCAGGGGGCCTTGGGCAAAGCAGGGGAGCTGCGGCGCTTGTACTCACCCGGCGGCGGTCTGGGTCTTTGGCGGCATTTCAGCGGCGGGGGGCCCTTCAGTCGCTCCGCGTCTTCGGCAGCACTGAAGGGCCCCCCGCTGCCGAAATGCCGCCGAAGACCCGGACCGCCGCCGGGCCAGGGCTCGCAGCTGGGGCATTGCTCGCAAGGCCCAGGGCTGGGGGCGCTGTGGCTGGGGCCACACTGTGCCACCCACCCAGCCACCCAGAGCTGGGGTTGGGGACACTCCAGCCATGCTGCCCACCTGGCACTCCGGGGCTGGGACCGTGGGGGTGGGGGCAGTGGCCACAGGGGAGGTGTGTGCTCTGGGCTGTGGCAGGGGAGGGGGTGGAAAGGGAGGGGAAGGGTGGGCCCTCAGACAGAGGGGGATGGGCTGGGGGCTAGCCTCCCCCAACGTTCACCTGCAGGCCATGGCTGAGAGAGAGGCTCTGGGCTCCCATTTGCTTAGCCCCACCTCAGCAATTATTGTTTTTAAAAGGTGCCTAGGGACAGGGACAAGCCAGCAAACAAGGTGGCGGCTTAATCTTGCTTTCTGCAAAAGGGTTGGTATAAATTCAGAACACATAAGATTAAAAAAAGAGCAAACCAGCCTGAATCCACATAAATAAACCCTGGATGCAGTGTCGCCAACTCTCATGATTTTGTCATGAGTGTCATGATAATTATT